AGTCCAGACATATAATGGCTTTGGTCTAATTTTCCTTACATTCTTTTGGTCTTCCATCATCGTTACAGTTGTTTACTTAAGACATATTTCAGCAATTTTGAGATGTTTCTCCATCCTATTCTATGTACCTCTGCTCATTCTTACATCTTTGTCACAGATTATAAACTAGGGGATGAGGTCATTGCCCTCGTATATAACCAAAATCACAGTGCCTGAAATTAATCCTTGGTGGTTTATTTTTCTTAGTTGTTGTTTTCCAAGAAACTGCAGAATCACTTAAAAATTTATCTGTGGCTTGTAGTATAGAAGATATGAACATGCTTTCCTCTCTTGCCTTTACAGACTTTCTAGAAGTGATCAATAGACCCCAAGAGTTCCTAAGCACAGCTTGAAACCACTTGACTGGTTTTAGGAAAACATCAAATTTTGCCTTTCAGATTTTCAGTGGTGAAGAACTTTGATACCTCCATAGCTTTCCACAGAGAAAAATGTGCCTTTTACTTCTAACCTTAATTTGTCTGTCTCCAGCTTTCACCTTGATATGTCATTGTCCACTAGACAAAATAGCCTTCTAGAATCAATATCCTACCTCCGGGAGGCAGCTCTGACCCCTCTGATTTTCCCCTTGACAAGCTAAACGGCTTGTGATTTTTTAAGCTTTTCCCTGAGTGGCATATTTCTCAGCCTCCAGCTAACCCTGTGGTTTTCCTCTCAGTGTTTCTCACTTTATTATGATCCTTTCTAAGACTTTATTCATAGGAACTTCAGGCAGCAGTCTAATAATAACAGAAAAAGGCATAATGCCCCTACTTTAACTGATACTCTCTTTTAAAAATAAATATTCAAGGATCCCAGAGAAAACTCACGGATATCTTGGATTTTGCTACTTAATCAACATAGCTCAAATGTTCTGGAAAAACAGTGCATTTGTGCTCCATAGACAAACTGTATTACTCTGGAACATGTCCCAGTCAAAAATGATAACAGAGATGGCTACAGCCCATTTACTTTCTTGATAATCTACCGCCATCATTATTTTCTGCATCAGTGCTTTCTAGAATTAAACACTCTATCCTATAACTATGAATGTATTTTTCCCCTGTACTCTCTTCATAGTCAGTGAAAAGAAACTGGACCTGCCAAACCAACCCAGCATGACTGCCTAAAACCTCTGGGCTAGAGAGTCCTCTGATGGCAACCCAATTCTCTCCATGAACAATGAGAAACTTGCAGCTGGCTAACACCAGGCACTTTCAGGGGACTAAAACAAGATGAGGTGGATGCCACAGGCACTGGGAAGTGCTGCCAGTCGCTATTTTGAAGCATAAGCTGGACCAGGGCTCAGCTTTACACTTATATCCAGTAACTACACATCTGCCTCAATATATCACCAACACTATAAATCATCCTATTGTTACTCCCCCAAAGTTTTTGTCTTCTTCAATAGTCATCAGTAATAACTGCAATTTTCACAGGTCGTTGTTGGAAATGCATGTCACAGCATATGTCACAGTAGAGACAGCCACTATACACAGAGTAGCACCATACAATTTCAGAAAGCACCTGCCCATACAGAGTAACAGCACACTACTCCAAAAGACTTCATGGTCTAGGCTTCATTGCTCTTCAGCCCAACCTTTTATACCCCTGATTGTTCATGCATTGCACCTGTGTGCCCTCTGTTCCCTTCCCTGACTGGTCAGTGCATCTGGGCACTCCCTGTCCCATTACCTCCAATGCTGCTCACCTGCTTTTCACAGCTGTAGCCCATTGGGGAAGAGGCTTGGCTGCAGCCCCACTCCCAATTACACCAAACTGTGTGCCTACAAGTGTAAACCAGTGCAGAAGTAAAAAATTAGCCTAAGTGGCACTCTCTCAAAGAGAATCCATTTAATAATTTTCCCCTTTTTCATAAACATTTTTAAGCCTGTCATTTAAGAAGTTTTGAAAACACTTAGTATGCATGGCTTTCATTTCATATGATTCAAATCATGCAGTACCAATTGGTATGTTATGAAAGCCATAATTGGATGCTATTCTGCTAGTCATCCAGATTTCCAAGTTGGCATGATAAGATTTTCCAGGTTGATAGAAAACAATTATATTATTTTGTTTTTAATTTCCATTAATTAACTTTATTGTGAAGACTTTTTTATTAGGATCCCAATTGAGCTGACAAATCTATAATTAGCTAGATTTCACACTTACACATCAGGCGTGTCCTTTTATGCAGCAACCATGACTTGCTATAGGTCTTCCTATAGAAGCCACCTGATGCTTTAAATTATTCCAAGCACTTGGAGTGCAGATTAGCCAATGTGCTAGAATTTTTGCCAGAAAGCAAAGACCCAGTGATATGCTTATAAAACTGTCTGAGTAGAATCCAAACTTCTCTCTCTTTGATGAGGGTTCTATGACACCTTATTATAAAGATATTTTTCTGTCTTTTATTTAGTCTAGTGGTTTTGAAAGTGAACTGCAGAAGCTGTAGCAACAGTCATAGGAATGCAGGCCTTTCCTCTAACAGTCTACCAATGCATGGTAATTTTGCTTCTCTGTCCCAAAATCTTTCTGTCCACCTGTACATCAAATTGGAAAATCTGGAGGTTTTTTGATACTAGGGCTAAAATAAATATTTGATAATTCATAGAGCTGGGCCTCTGTTTTGGACCCTACAATGTTATTCCCTGTTTTCTGATCTGAGAAAGAGACTTGTCTACTAGAGAAATATTTTTTGCTTTAAGAACAAAGAGTGGCACTATCCCATGCTTTGTACAGGGAGAAACAGAAATGTACAGTGAGCATATGATATGAGTTACACAGGGCTCCTCTTAGCATGTATCAAAGCCACAGGTGGTGGAATCCACTTGCCTGTATCCATCATTGTCTAGTTGATGAGGCCTCATGCTGTTTTGCTTGAGAAGTCTCTAAGCAACCAGGTATCTCTGCTACATAAACAGGAATTTCATCTTATGTACCAAAACAGTATGTACTCTTAAAAATGAAAAAGAAAAAAAGTGCTGAGGAAAGCTCACTTCTGTGCCCTGGTCAGCTTGAGGAAGTTTCAACTTACAGTCTCTATCAAGCCAGGGAGCATGTCAGCCAAACAGCTGTGGACTGTTAAAGACAAAAGTCTCTTTTACTCTTCTATTAAAGTTGGACCTTTGCAGACAGCAAGGCATGGGGCCAGAGAGACTGTCTCTATACCCAGGTCTTGGGAAGACATATGAATTTTATATAAGCAAATTTATATGGATGAATTTCAATACAGAAAGAGAAACAACCTGGGAAATACTGCCATTTCTTGACTGAATTGTGCAATTGCTCAAATACTGTCGAAACATCTTTTGTCTGACTTTTGGCTGGAAGGTAATCTGTCCTTCTTTCTCTTCCACATTAAAACGGCCACTTCCCCAAAGAGAACCAATTACAGATTCCAGCATCTCGAATCCAAAAGAGAAGGAGAGCCTCAAGGCACTGAGAAAGGCAAGACAAGTTGTGGTAAATGTCAGAAGAGAGCTGGGGAGAAGGGATTCTATTGGCATTTTCTGGCATTTACCTTGTAAGGTAACTGGAGAGGCAGACCCATTGACTGGATGAAGAGAGAACATCTCCCAGGCTCCCCCATACTCATTCATTCTGTGTCCTCTATTTGACATTCTGTTTCTATTAGGATGATTGAATTGGCCACCTTCCCTCTGTTCACTAGTTCCCCCCTGAAATGGGCACCTAAAATATAGTCACATCTGCTCACAAATGAAGCACTGTTGGAGTCTTTCCATTATCTACCACATGGGAGCAGGATTAGGTTCACTGTCAGTTTTGGGGAACATGAAAGGGATAAAGGAGCATGAATTATGCATAACAGAATTGCACCCTACTGGTTTCCTAAGACATACAAGATGTTTCAGTCCCATTGTCATCCTAGCATGCTCTTGGAGAAAATGCTTCACACAGCCAGAGGCAGAACTCACAGTGTTAGCAGGACTCGTCCAAGACTCCTGATACAGCACCATATTGACATTCTTCTGCTAATGACGTATGTTTCATGTTGTTAAAGATCTGGCAGCATATAACCGTCTGTTAGACTGGCTAAGACTGCATAAAGTGTTGTAAGAAATAAACTGAGTAGGGAAAATTTATTAGAGAACTGTTAAAACCTGAGTGGGTTCTTTTTTGGGGTTTTTTTTGCATCTTCCTTTTGATTATTTTCATTGTAACTAATGGAAAGAAAAAGAATATTAAACTAGCAATCTGATTACAACCTTCACATACCTTTGGTTTAGACCTAAACTCTTCCAGGCAGTAATACAATATTTTAATGCCAGACCCAATTTAATGAGGGTCTAAATTACTAAGAAGTAACTTTTTATGAAAAGCTTTGGACAGTGCTTGGCATGATAGGAGAAGCCCATATATTTCTCCCAGGGACAACTGCGGATTATTCCCCAGTTGTCCCACTAAGTCTTCCCACCCTCCCTGGCACAGCTCGGAGATTTGAGGCATTCGGCCCAGCGAAGACTTTTACGCGGCCACCGCGGGCCCGAGGGTGACGGGACAGCCGGCTGCGCGGCCCCTGTGCTGGCGGAGAGCCCTTGGCACACAGTTCCCGTCCTATCCAGTCGCCGGGAGCGTTCACTCCGCACCGGGGACAGCCCCCTCCCCGCACCATCCCTCCTGCCACTCTGCCCGGAGTGGGGACGGCGCGGCCGGCAGCTCAGGGAGGGCCCGGGCACCGCTCCCGCCCCCTTCCCGCGGGCCCCCTTTCCTCCCCCGGCGCGCAGAGCGGGGCGCTCCCGCCGCTACAGACCCCGGCTCCGGCGGCTCCCGGGGGCGGTGCGAGGCGCGGTGCAGCGCGGCGGCGGCCGCGGGGGAGCGCGGCTGCGGCAGCCCCCGCCTGCTCCCGGGGCACGGCCGTGCTGGGCGAGGGGAGTGGGCGGCGGTCCCGGCCCGGGCGCTGCGCACCTCTGCCGAGTTTGGCCGGCCCAGAAGGGCAGCCGAGAGTTCAGCATGCAGGAAGTTTTGAGGCAGCTCGGAGAGTAGCGCGGCGGCGGTGACCGCTGCCTCGCGTGCTCCGGGGTTTTGAGCTTTTTTTGCGGGGATTGTGCCTTTTTTGCCCCCCGCCTACAACTCCCCCAAACACACAAGCAACCCGCAACAATCAAAAAGTCCGGTAAGGGGGAAGAGAACACGAGCGAGGGAAGCACCCTCGGCGGGAGAGGAGAGCCCGTTTCTTCGCAGAGACACGGTCCCGCTCGCAGCTGGTCCCAATGCAACTGCTCATCCTCCTCCTGCTCTACGCCGTCGTCTGTGCGAACTTCTGCAGCCGTCAGGGCACCACCGCCCCTGCCCAGAGCGGATCTATAAAAGCCCTGCGGGCTTCCAACATCAGGCGAGATGGTAGGTGTCCTGCTGCTTTATTTATTCCCAGGGACTGCTTTTGCGGGGGTAGCCCTTAAGCGCGCCTCGGGGCTGCCGCTGCCCTGTCCCAGGAGCGAGGGCCGCTCGCCCAGAGGGGGACTGGGGTCGGTCCCGGGAGGTCTCGTCCCGGGGGACTCAGCCAGGTCATGGGGTCGGTCCCCGGGCACCGGTCCCGGCGGCCGGTCCGGGAGCGTGTGGCCAAGTGGCAGGAGGGAGGTGTGGGATAAGGGGGCGACTCTGCCCGGCGGCTGCACCTCCGCGCCGTCACAAACTTCTCGGGGCAACTTCGAGGAGATCTCCGGGGAGTCAGCGGTACCCCCAGCGTCCCCTCTGGGCTGCGGGAGGGGGCAGACAACGCGGAGTGCTCGGTCCCGGCTGCCCAGGAGGGCCCCGCCGGCCGTCCCTCGGCACCCCTGGGCCCGTGTCCCCGTGATGTGCCGGCGGCGGGGCAGAGCGGGGCGAGCGGCCGCTTTGTGGCGGCTCCGGCCGCACCGGCGCCGCTGCGGGGGCTCTCAGGGGCGGTGTGTCGGGGGCGCTGCCGTCGCCCCAGGGCTCCTTGGCGGGAGCGGGATCGGGATCGTCTCCCAGCCCTGCCACAGCCTCGCCGCCTTCGACTGCTCTAAGAGCTGTCGGCGTCCTGCTCGCCGGGTTAGGGGATTTCCTCGCCGGAGGGTCTGAGCCCAGGGCTTGGTGCTTCCCTGGGCACTGCCCCACCAGCAGTGGCCTCGTCCCTTGTGCTGGCCGGGGATGGTGCGCGCCCCTCAGGGCGGCAGCGGGTCTCGGACAGCGTGGGAAGGGTGTTTTCAGCCTGAGCTCCGCTGCGGTTCCCTCCGGAGCTGCCGGCAGGGGATGTCCTGGACAGCCGAGGTGCTGCGAGGGTCTGCAGAGCGGCAGTGCGGGACGCAGGTGCCTCCCGTGAACGTGGTCGTGTGCCGTGGCCCCACGGGGAGCGAACGGGGAGACTGCATAGAGAAATAGTGAAATTCACTCTAGAGGTGAATTTCAGCCCTGGGACTTTCAGTTTGGGAAGAGTGATGGGCTTTTGGCCAGGGCGCAGCCTGGAATGTTCCAGCCTCACGTGGGAGAGCTTGCTTTTGCACATTGCCGTGCACCACCTTCGACGACCGAACGCAGGATATTCTCCTTGCAAATGAACAGAGTTAACATCAGTCTTGAGTTAACATCTTCCAGTTGACAGCAGTTATATATTTTATAAACTCTTTTCAAAAACCCAAGCCCTTGAGCCATTTCCAAGACTGTATTTGCCAGTGTTTATTTTCCAGCATGTATACAATGCATGTAATGGGTATACAGTTGATTTAGGAAGATGTTTTTGTTTAAAGTTTGGAGCCATATTGAATTAAAAATATTTTTTTATTCCTTTCCTAGTCCCTGAAAGAGGACTTAGAGAAGGTGGAGGATATTTTTTCTTACAATGCAAATGTTGAGTCAGGAAGCAGGATAGAATTGCAGTTCTTTCTGATACAGTAGTCAAATTTAATCTCATTAAAGAAAAAAAAAAGTATGTTTTTGCAACAAAAGTACATTTTTGTTATTTCTGTTTCATTCTTTAAAATTATTCTGTGTTTTACCAAGCTTCATGACTTTTTAGCCTGCCATCTTCATAGAACTGAGACCATCACTGAATGTGTCTAAGCAAGCTTGCATCCAGCTCAAACTTCAAACAAGCTTTTTCATTGAAAACTTACATACTTAGAACATCAAAATGTGTGTTACTCTGATCGTCTCTGTATAGTCAATGAAAAAATCACTAACCCCTAATATAAATAAAATTTTCATATTAATGGAAGTGTGATGGGTGTTTTACTCCTCAGAAGACTTCCAATGGTGAAATTACGTCTTGGAGTCATGAAGAGAACAAGCCTTTGAAATGATTAGTTAACTGCTGTCTTTCTAGTTGTGATAATTTAACAATTTGATTAAGCTTTGCACCTTTAAAATTACTGGAGGCAACTTGTAATGGTTGATCTTTGTGGGTACCAGGTGGACTAACACTGGGGCTCTTGGAAGGTGGCAGATATATGTGTAATTACATCCTACTTTTCATCTTTGCTGGGACATGTGGGCCTTGCAGTCTGCAGTGGATGTGCCCATGCCAAAGTCAGACACTTCACTTGGATGTTACGGACGTTCTGAAGAGGTCACTGACTTCATTGAAGTGCAGACCCCTAGCATGCTGCTGCCTTGCTCTCTTCTCTCCCTATCTTGGGAATTTTCTCTGCAAAGGATGGTTTGTTCTGGTGTGGTGTTGCAACGTTTAAAGCAGATCAGCTGCTGATCTCCCTGATTTTACTCAAATGAAACTGTTGCTTGAGTTCCTTGACTGAAGGTCCATATTTGTACAGCCAGAGGTTTTGAGCGGTATTCCAAATGTTGCATGCATGTGATGGGCTCACAAGCAAATGCTTAGACCACAGTTGGCTGTAGGCCACTAATAGTATTTCTGTCTTTTGTAATTCGCAGTGGTGTTTTTGTATTGTTTTGGTCTGAAGCAATTATATGGAACAGCCTGAAAGACATGTGAGTTGTGTTGCTGAGTCAGACAGTATTTTTTGCTTTGTAAATATTTGCAGATATGACAATACAGAATGGATCTGAGAGCATGCAGTACATTGGGGTAAATGTGTTTCAACAGTCTCTCTCAAAACACATAGCAAAGATAAAAAGTAGTTTAATATTGTGCTCTGGGTTAATGATCATGATTATTAGATTTTGAAATTAAAAGAGAAGAGGAAATGAGGCCTATTCAGCTTCAAAAAATATCTTGGGAAGTTCAAGACCACCTGCACATTTTATTTAAAAAAAAGCAACCCTTTGAGTTCCAGTTCCAAGTGGCATAACTTAGTGGTGCTGCATACACAGAGTTTAATATGGAGGCTTGATCTTGCTTCTGGCCAAAACAAACCTTTGTAGTGTGCATGATTCAGTATTACCTTTCTTCTTTCAGACTAAAAGAAGTTGGCCTATTTGTAATTCCTCTTACTTAAGACTGAAGTTGATCTGATAAGAAATCTATGGAGGAGGGCAGCTCATACAAAAACTGCTGTTTAATGACTACCAAACCTAACCAGACAGTACTTTCTGCTGAATATATTAAGAATATAAATAACTTGCTTACCAGACATCCTCTTGTCCTAGTTGAAAGACAGTCATTGATGACTCAGCAGTCCAGTATAGCACTAATCAATTTTTTAAAATGTCCTGGAGGTGCCAGCGACATTTATAGCACAAGTACTGGTAATCACTTAGAGTGTTTATTAATGCTATTAAGCTAAGTACTTTGAAGTTCATCACAATAACGCAGAGGTCTTCCAGATGCTTCCATTGTGCTATTTTGACTCAGTTTCCCCGTTTGCAGTGTGCAGGTAATACTGCCTAATTACAAGAAGTCTGGTATTTTGTTTCTCCTGTTTTGGTTGTTGATGTGTACTCGGAGATGAAAAGTAGAAGATAAAAAGTGCTAAATGATATTATTTACTATATAATGTCTAACTGAAACATTACATGCTTTTTCTTATCAGTTATTGAATAAACATCTGTTTAGTATAGGGAAGTATGCCTAGTCTGTATCTTCAGACTAAGCATCACCATACATACTTTAAACTTCAAACTCCAGAGGTCAAAGAAAAGACAGAACAGAACAGACAGCATAGTGTCAGGTCATTTCAGTATATAAACAACTGAAAGCCATGGAATCAGTATCTTCTGATGTGGATTTGAAACCATAACATCAGATGACTCATGATAAGATTCCACAGTCTTGTGGTTTTCATTAGGAATCCAAAAAAACCTGGAATTTTCAAACTTTGCTTTGCTTGTGTACCACCAAAATACAAAGAAAAAACTGTACTTTACAATTCTGGATAACTGCCCACAGCTTTTGGCTCTTTAAGGCCCAGTCCAAATAAATGTATGCCATTAACTCTTCTTCCCCATATTGGCTGATGCCTAATCACAGGGAAAAGTGTATGGTAATTTGGGCGGTATTCTCTCACCAAACAAATGTTAAGTGTCTGTCCGGGGAGAAGATTGTGTTGTTTTCTGGTTTTTTGTTGTTTGGTTGGTTTTTAAAGAGGATAGGTTTAGATTAGATGCTTTAAGGTCCCTTCCAACCCAAGCCATCTTATGATTCTGTGGTATTAGGAGAAATTCTTTACTGTGGATGTGGTGGGGCCAGATGTGGTTGCCCAGAGAGGTGTGTTCAAGGGGTTTCATGAAGCTGGTCTAGTGCAAAGTGTCCTTCCTCATAACAGGGGGATTGGAAATAGATGACCCTCAAGGTTCCTTTCAACCCAAGCCATTCCATGATTCTGTGATTTTATGTTTCCATGATTTTATGAAGTGTCTCTGGTATCACTAGTGGTCTAGAACATCACTTTTGGAATGCACTTACTGAGTTCTTTTATAATAGGCTTGTATACATTTTTTTAGAGAACTCTGGTAACATAAAATTTTGTCAACTGTAAAATGGCCAAAATAAATTGGCTTTTACAGACTTTATTTCCTTTTTTTCTAGATTTTGTATAGAAATATGTATTTCAGGCTTCATCAGTTTGAAAAAAAAAAAGCCTTACTAATGTCCCTGCAGTAATGTACTTAGGTCTACAATCATCTGACTTTGATGGTGTCTCTTATCTTTATAATTAACAGTTTGGACTGAAATATCAAAGCATATTGCTTGAGAATTCCAACCCTGACTCAGCAGCAAGTAGCATAGAGGAATTCTCTAAAGGAACTTAAAATATGTTGTATCAGGCAGATGTATATCATAGTGTAAGTCACTATAAATTCTTCAGTCTCTTGAAACTTCTTGGTTTTCATTTGGAGCTTTTTAAAATATTACTGTGAAACTGAATTAGGCCAGATAATTCTTAAAGGGCTGGAAGAGAAAACAATAATTGTATTGCTTTGATTTGTAGAAACTGAACAGTGCTGAAAATCTAAAATAACGTCGGGAG